AAATGCCAAAGAAGAATATTTTCTAAAAGAAATTTTTATGCATACAAATCGATTTTTAAACAATAAGCTTATATTAATTTTACATTTAAAAATAACTAATCATGGATCATATAATTTTAAATATGCACTAAAAAACAACTAATTGTACTATTGCTACGTAATAACTATAATATTAAATAAATAATAAGGTATATTTTAATAAACATTGTATTGAACTATGTTGTAATCTACCCACTGAYGATTTGTATGCAAATCAGTCTCTATTGTATTTATTTATAACAAATGATGCATAGTTTTATACTTTTATGAAATACATTTTTTTTATTCTTGATTTACAAAAAGTATATATTAGAACSCTTAATTTAAAATGAATTTTCTGAATATGTTAAATTCAGATATGTCCTTAAAATCTAAAATATGGCCATCAGTCCTGAACATGTTTAGAAATCAAAAATAGAAACCAAAACATTAGTTGGAGTAGTTGACTATAAACGTAGCAAAGATTGTATATTGAATTTACTAAGCCTGAGATGAAATCTTAATATGCAAATTTCTAAAAGTACTTACTCAACTTCTAAGTTTATTGGTTTAATTGAGAATATACTYGTRATATTGGGAATATTTTGCATTTATCCCTGTGCTAACTAATACATTTTTATAAAGAAAAACAATTTTTATTTTATTAATAATTATAATCTCTATACAATTTACAGCAAATATTTACAGTAAACTGTGTATTTACAAAAAAATTATAATTTATATGAAAATAAATCTTGCAATTTATTTATTTGACAGTTACTTAAGTTTATTTGATGATCAGATATCAGTACCAGCTCTCAGAGTCCTTYAAATTAAATTCCTGTTTGAGTTTTGAGTCAACTAGATTGAAAATCCATTTTTAAATAAAACCATTCTTCAGAAAAATATTTAACTATATAATATAAAATTAAAAATACTAAATTTAATGAAATAAAAAGAATAACAGAATAATGGAATAATCCAATGTTTCTTTGTCGGAGAAACAAAATTGAATTAAATCGTCTCAGAATAGGTCATACACACTACACATCACATCGGAAACATGCATATACAAAAAAGAACCACCAAGAACATGTCAAACATGCGGACATCCAACTTTAATCAAACACTATATCACAGAATGAAAAGACACCCGAGAGGCTCGACGAAAATTTTCCTGTTTTTGAGGCTTCAATTCTTATAAAAAAAAATATATGCCGTTTTAATAAAAAAAGATTTATACCTAAAAACCTAATTATTATTATAAACAATAGTACATATTGAATAAATGACTTGTCCATGCAATTTATCAATAATTGTTTTTACTTTTAGATTCTGAGCGGAGCGATGAATGTATTGATTTTACCATGATGTGTGTTTTTTTTTTTGTGTCTGTCATCACGTTTTGGGGCAGTAAAAATGCTTCGATTTTTGACTTCAGTACCTCATTCGATCAGAAAGTGAATCTTGTTGGTACTTGGGGGGGAAGGGGGGTCAAAAGTAAAAAAGAGTAAAGTAAAAGAATTTTATGCTAGAAATTCATAAAAGATTTTCCTTTTATATCTAAGATTTGAAAATTTAATACAAGGCTCCWGACATATTTTTACAATACCAGTTGAAAAATAAAAKAAATACATAGTCACAATTTTTTTTATATAATAATACTAGAAATCATATTAAATTATATATACCTAATTAAAAATATAATACTATAATTTTATAGTAGAATAAAAGAAAATATTAATTTTATGATTAAAAATTAACCTAAAAATATGTGCATATCAATTGATTTATCTGTTTAAAAAAAAAAAGAGTTTTATAATATCATGAATTTATATGTATGTAATAAGTTTTTGACATTTTTTAATAAATACATTATTCATAAAAATTCCCTTAAATAATTAGACGCAAAAGTATTTATTGATCTCATCTTATAAGATAATTAAATATCAATGGAATTGTTTGTTTTTTATTTCTAACTTAAAAAAAAAACCTTCAGAAGCTTCGCACTGGCAATTTCAATGTTGGTTATAATATTTTTATTTTTCTATTGTAAATGATACTTTTTCAAATGAAATACATAAACTATATAATAATCATACATCTAAGCCTATATTTAATTAATTACTCAGTCCAAATCCGATTCTTGGAAGATTGTACCTATACATTATAATRWTGACTAAATGTATAATACTTGCCTATTATTATGATGTTATTGTTTTTAAAATAGAGGAAATTGATAAAATTATCAAATTTTAAAACTGTATAAAACAAAAACACTAATCTACAATCATAATTGTTAGTAATTTTGYTACCCGCTATTGTAAGACGAATTTGTGACATCTCACTGGTAGAACATATATTTTTTTTTGATTTTATTCTACTTCAAATTTCATACACTCTGTCATATTTGGTATTTTTATTTTATTTTTTTTTTGGTTCATACAATTGTTGCGCTGCACGTTTTTGCTCAATTTATCAGTAGATCCTCTGACTTGTTCTGTAATCTTGATGCATTGTGCCCGGTCGTCGGTGAATATAAAACAGGGAACGTTACAAAATAAAAACATAAATAATCTGTAACCCTTCGTGGCCCTGCCAGACAAATCACAATAATAATGTTATATTTTTTTTTTGCACTAAAAATGTATTATTTATTATTATTATTTTTGTTAAAATTTGTATTAAATAATGTTTCGTGCTAAATTAAAAATTCCTATGTAGGATCAAGTWATATTTTAAGTTATACTACAGTGTAGTTATGTCGATTTAATAGTTTATTAMTATGTTATTTTAAAAGGTTGATATTATTTATTTTTTAACAATTAATATTAATACATCAATACATGACTGCTATATTATTCTACAAATTCTATCAATTTAACATCACTTTGAATTGGCTAATGCTATGGAAAATGATTTAGAAAATATGTTATTCATGGAATCTTATGACTAAGAAATTATAAATATTATGATCTTGGTGTTTATTCTAATGCGAACAAAATTAATTTTTTTTAACAATTATCCATTAAAATATTCAAACAAAATAGGTTTATGTTATTAATTTATTTTTGATATGATGTAATAATTATTACATTACAAAGAGGTTATTTAAATGGATAAGCAATGAGATAATCAACATAAAATGTATTACGGTAAAATGAAATGATCGATTACTGCCAAATAATTATAGTAGGTACACTTATACATGTATTTTGCATTGAAATTCATGTATTTAATAATAAATACATGAAATGAAATGTCAAAGAAACATGTTACTGCCAAATGGATTTGTGTATTTTATTGCTTTAAAATTGGTGTGATAAAATATTTATATTTCATACTGTAATTATTCAATGACGTGAATACCAATAATTTGGTATAGAAATTTATTTTTATGAAGACATCATCAATAACTTTGAAATTGTTTTATATTTTAAACAATATGACTTACTCTAGCTATTAATAACTAAATACGTATATTTTTATTCATTAATTTATTAAAATTATGGTMAATAATATATTAATTATGCTCGTTAGAGTAACATAAAGAAACTGTTTTCGTTTATAATAGTACTTAGGAATAAGATAATATATGTAAGTACAAGATAATAGTTAAAATTTATTGATTATGTCATAGAAAATAATACTATCATATTACAGTATTCTTATTTCGTACAAGATGGTTTTAGAATTTATCAAAATACTTTTAACGATTTTAATCTCAATTTAATAAAAAGGTGCATTYATTTAACTTGTATTGATTATTTAGTTCGGTAATCTTAAAGAATTTTACAAAATTAAGTTACGCATAAACAAACAATAATAAAAAAAAATCAGATAAACACTATAAATTATTCATTTAATGTTTTTTTTTTTTTAAAATAAATTTGATTTTGATTATTTTAAATCTGTTTAAATTGCTAAAATTAATATGTATATTGATCTAATGACCTATAACAATATTCCTCCGTGTACTAGTCTTAGGACCGAATTACATTTATTATCGATCCATGTACTTAATGTATTTATTTATTTGAATTTTATACCAACCAAATTTCCATAGGTAGATTTATTATAATTTCAGTCATAAAAATACGAGACTGTTATTGATTTTGCATTTAAATAAATTGCTTATATGGGAATTTGGCGTAATATAATTCTTTATGTAGCCAATAACCTTTGTTGTTGAGGCTCAATTAAAACGAAAAAAAAAAATTCTTTATGATGAAATTGATTGTGTATTTGAAATTACCGTTAAATAATTTGTGAATGAAAACTATCTCAATAATCGTATGGTTCAAAATATGAATCGATCAGATATCTATTTAGTTTTGAGTGTTATAAATACAAGAAGAAGTATGAAGACTTAAGTATAGTAGTTTTTTTGTTGTGATATGGGATGATATACTATATACAGGTAGACTGTCAAAGATATTACATTTTTGATTCACATCGCCAATCTACCGACCATCTAAATAATACTTTAGCATGATTTTTTAGTTTTTAAGTAGGCACCTACCTAGTTACTTGTATACTTAATGTTTCGAGTGTGTCATAATATATTCGTAGGTTCACCATAATTGTGAACAGTGTATACACAACTTGTAAAACTTGCATCCTTCAACATATTGTATTCAACGGGTCACGATTTATTGAGCAGCACTCATGCGCCAGTTGTGGATGGAAAAGTTATTAAAAAAAATTGGTACTCAGTYCCAGATGTTAAATACAAACACACCACAAAAGTAAATTTACATTGTATAATAGAGCTTATAATATTATATTGTTTTATGCTCATGCGGCTGCATTGAAGTATTTTATCAGTTTATTATTACCATGCAATCAAATAAACCGTTTTATCATACTATCCTCACTTGTTTGTTCAAGTGTTATAGATTTATTTATGTTATTTATGTTCTATGGAAGGCAATATTATAGATCTAACCTATATTATTACAATTACGAAGTATTCTGCTGTATGTCATCAAACAGTGTATTACGAAAATCATGTGGTCTACCAAACGAATATTGTTATCAAGCGTGACAATGCTTGAGTGTTTAAAATTAACATTAATGTTCCAAATTAATATCCCAAAACCTGATACGGTCTACATAAGTGTGCCATTCGATGAATTCAAAAATATCCAATGGTTTGAAAACCCAAACTATATGGAATCGACGTGTGGGACGTTCAAAGCTTATGACGAAGGAACGATACAAAAAGTAAAAAATCACCTAAGTGTGCAAGAATCCAAGTAGTTAAAAATGTTCTCTGTTTAAGATTGTTGGGAGATGGTATACCATGTATGTGTCAAATATTCCGTCAACCACGCATCATTGTAGTCAATTTACAAGTGAATATAGTGTACTAAAATCTTTGTTATATAGACTGTAAATAATTTAATACCAGACAACATTGTAATACACATTAAATTATAACTAAAAACTTATTTAGGTTTGTATTGAAAATTTAAAAGTAAATTCTAATTTTCAAACATCATCCTTCAAAAGTGCTATGATTTATTAAATCACTCTACCTTTTGAAAAATAGATAGTGCTGAAAGTTGTATTAATATTTTTGTTTATACGTGTTTTAACTAAAAATATATTTAGCAACCTTAGATAGGTGTAAACAGCATAATTTTACAAACGATAGCAATTTAGTTAAATTATATTTAACATTTTATTCAACAACAAATTATCGAATTATTTATAGATGTGAAAGGCCCGTGCGGATGCAGTGGAATTGATTTTACAATTGCTTTAAATTATGGTGTTATTTCATTTGTCATGTTTTCGACTAACACAATGTAAGTCGTTTCATAAGTTTTGTTTTAAAAATTATAATAAGATTTATCAATTAGAAAAAAAAAAWTTTTAGAAAACAGTCAGTGACTTATGAGTTGGCAACAGCTACGATTTTCGGAAATCGTCAGTTAAACATGAATAAAATAATACTACGAAGTGAGCATTACAATGSATAAATTTAGTATTAAAACGATTAGTCTTGATAATTAAACGAACAGGAAATTAGATTTAATTTAGAAAATATTAACTATGTGTAAAATAAAAGTACTTAATAGTAAGAGAAAATGAAATTTTATATTCTGTGTTGTCGATAGGTATATGATAAGATACGAGTAAGAACATTGTTTTTAATATTGAAGAGTCTAATGTTGGTAAATTTAAAAAATATAAAATACGAGTAAGTATGGGCATTCGATWATATAGATTGTGATTTTCACATATCAAGAGGTAATTGGCCCAGTGTGTGTAGAAGGGAAGTCATTCAATGCGAGGTGGCCGATCGGGGAAAATTACATGAATAATAAGTGTTATTAAACAATGGTTAAGCAAACTGTTTTGGAAGATAGCTCATTTGCTCTATTTTAAGTGGTAAATTAAGAGGAGGTGCGCTTTATTTGATCCAGCCATAATTTTGGTATAAAARCATAGAGGTTGCAAGTGACTTCGTAGGACTGAGATCAGGCAGTGGTATTTTACTTCTAAGGTGTCATCTGAATGTGACTAGTTCATTAGACAATTTACTACTAATGGTCATTATATGAAACTGAATTCATAAAAATTTAAAGTTAAGTCAGTTTTTGCTTGATAATAGTATAAGAGATGTCTGAAKCTGATTATAATAGGATTATTATGGTTTAACGATATATATTTTTTATTATTTTTCCTTAATGCTTTCTTGTCAAACTATTATAGGTACCTAKCTAGTTTTCTTTTCAGGTTTTGTGTTAAATTCAAATGCAAAAGTAACAGGACTAGGAGGTAAGTATTATGTTTCTTAATTAATTAATTAATTAATTGGACAATATCATATAATTGTTTATTAAAGGCTTTGTAATTCCACGCGGCGTTATCGTTGATTCTGATGATTTCAATTCTTATATAATTATGGTGTTCTGCAAAGAAGGTACTTCAAAGATTTCTATCATTCTTCATAATATTCATCACAGAAGTATGTAATTTTGTTTTTTTATAAATAATATTATTTTATTTATAGGGGCGACAAAACCTTCTGTAATGATTCTCGTTAAAGCACTTCCAATATCTAAAGTCATCAATAACGTAGTTTTTAAGTATTTAAATGAAAATAAATTTGATAGTAAGTTATATAAAGTTAATCACGAAAATTGTCAGTATGGTAAAAATATTGTTGGAGACGATTATGTGTAATATTTTATTTTCATTAATTTACTTCGAAAATTTATTTAAAATTGTATAAAATGTATAAGTTATTAAATTATTCAAATTCCGAATTTTTTTTGTAACATGTTTAGAAATAAAATACATAAAGTTTATCATATCATATTGGTTTTTGATTAAATTTATTGATCATTAAAACGTTGAGCTTAATCTACAAGCACTAAACCTCGTTTTATTTAATACCTATGTTAATATTTATAATATCAATTAAAACATTAAAATTGATAGCAAGGAACAACTATCAAAATATGTTTGTTTTAAGCTGATTAATTACGTACCTACATGGTAACCATTAACAATACTAAGGTAAAGTTAAAAAATAGACCTTTAAAAGCAGTTAAAAATTCCAAGCAAAAACTAATTCGATAAATACTAATTTTCTTAAAATATTAAACACAATTTTTCCTTTAATATCATGTTATAATAGTTCGTTATTGTATATTTATGAGACGTAATGTTATATTATGTTTATTTTTGTATTCCCCTTTTCAAATATCATATTATATGAAAGTATCCATAAAACAAGTTAAAAAAAAAAAAAAAACATTTTAATATTAAAATTTAAATGCTACATTTGTGTTTTTAATTATTCCCGATTTACTTGAAAACATAATATTATTTCATCGCATACCGTTTATTAGAAAAGGAATACATTAATTTCTTTTTATACATTTGAATATTATTTCAAGTTGCATTGTTAATAACTTTGTTCTTTGACAGACTTTCACAAACAACGTTTTTATTTTATTTTTAATTCAAGTCACCGTTATTTTATTTATTTTTTGCTCTAAAAATGTCTAGCTGAGCTTCGCATCACCTTATTATTATAACTGTCTAGACTAAAATGTAAAAGATTAAATGTGCACACAGTTTCAAATGTACATACAACTGTCAATTCGTGTTTAAATGGTCAGTTAGCACGTTTTTTCATTTCTATGGTGAAATTATTTATAGCAATATCGTGTTCATAAAAAAATGCGATTTGTCCATTGATCATTTTTTATAAAAATAATATATTATACACGTTTTGCGCGGTGTCACGAACCGAACAACTTCAATAGACCTTTAGCGTTTGGACGTGGAGACCGTTGTTTGGAAATAACTTTAAAATGGAGTGCGCCAATAAACAGGTTTGGACGAATTTTCGTATTTTATATTTATCGTATCTTTTATAACACTCTAGTCGGCATTTGTGAAGTTACTGTTCAACCACGAACTGTCCACGGTCATTATTTTCATCGCTTACTTCGTTTTTATTAACCGACCATTTTGTTGTGACAATATAATATATTATATATATATACATACAGCCTATCGATCGTGTTACGGCGAATGGCACGGTGACTGCGTATAGTTTAATGTGCGTGTCCGTTGATGGCGACCGCTATGATCTCTACTCGGTAATAATGATCCGCATCCACATGAAAAAAAAAAAAACGATGACAAAAAAAAATGATATCTCATATCTCTTAAATATTATGCGAAAACACTTAAAGTTATTGTAACAGACTGAACACCGGAAACATGTCGTGTGCAAACCTACATATTTTGTAGTATAACTAGTGGTACCTAGGGATCTATAGGTACTTAAATGATATAATATTGTGAAAAAATTATAATCGTACGGCGAAGAGTTATTATTATTCCCAAGATTATTTATGGTTTACCAATAGTGGTGGTACTGGAGGTGAATGCAAAGAAGGGTTTGGATATTTATTGGGGTGCGGTGGGAGGGTGAGAACCGACTGCAAAGGAGATATATTATGTGCATGCCTGAGTGTGCGCGTACGTGTGTGTGTGAGAGAGAAAGAGCGTGATGGTGTGAAGGGAAAGAGGAAGGGGAATTGTGAAGCGAAAAATAAGTAAGCTGTTCAATCACGATGTTATTATCGACTGGCTGGGCGTGTTGTTGGCACGTTGAATAATTCGTGGCGATCAATCATGACAGGAGATGGTTTTCCCTAGTCCATGTATACACACCACCACGTCGTTTCTCAAATCTAACTTACTCTCTCCTACTCTTTCTCTTACATATACGTACACACACAAACACATATACCGTTTTACCCCCTCCCCGCATCCACAATCATCGYTGGTCGTTTACCACTGTGTTCATTGCACGTTCTAATCCCTTCCCTAAATTCTTTTACACATTTCTTTGCACTTACGGGAACAAAACGTCCGGTGTTATTGTTCAACACTCCTCTCCTTTTCTGCTCGTTAAATACACTTAACTACCTAGCTACCGACAAACGTACATACTATATTCCCCTTCCACCCATCAACACACATGCAGCACACACCCTCTCACGACACCCATTATCGCTCCGTTTCGAGTAAACAATAACTTTTGCCGAAACAAAATTATCTTCAGTATTCTCCACGTGTGTATTGCAATAGATATTTGTATATACAATATACATGTACGTTCAAATTGCTCAGATCACACTTGGAGTTTAACCTTTCCGGACGCAGAAAAGTTTCGAGTAGCCAGTGCAGTTGCTGCGGTGCAAAGCAGCGGGTTTCGATTGCAGAGTGATTCATAAATCTCTACGACGCCTGTAAATTACCATCTCTTATACTCAACGGACTAATGTAAATTATTTACTCAGATAAATCCAGCACATGACACATATATGTATACCAGCATTCTACATTTTGTGAATACTCGTGTATATTATGTGAAAACTTTCAAGATATCTTTGTAATGAGTATATTTGTGTGAAATACATGATACCTTGTATAGCAATGGCATAATTTCATGTCTAGGTGTATTACAAAGTATGTGGGTGTGGTGATTTACGATATGTCTTTGTGTTTGAATAAAAAAAAAACATAAAACTGTATATAATATGTTATATTCAAACGTCATTCATCAAATGTGATTGTTGTGTAAATGTGTTAGTACTTATCTACAAATGCGTAGACTAAGATAATAATGTAATAGTATGTTTAAAACACCGGATAAATTTTTTGGATAATTTTCTATTTGCTTTAAGCATCTCGAGCACATCTATTTCCAAGTGGCTTGTTCTCACGTATCATATACGTAACTTTTCAACGAAAATTGTTTAAGTATTATATTTATTATATAAATTAGTATTATTTTATTGTATTATATTATTATATTTTTAAGTATTCTATGTTATTATTATAATTCGACAATACATAATTGTAACCAAAATATAACAGACCATTTTTCCATAACTACATTTTTCTTATATTTGATCATTGAAAGTATGTTTTTAAATCTGTAAAATACAAAAATAAGCTAAGTTCCTTCCAATTTTCAATATTCTACATAAGAACTGATATAATTTTACATAAAACAACAATATACACTAACATATTATTTTACTTTGATTTGTTTATAACGTGTCCATAAATCTCACGAGAACAAGAAATATTATGTTATATTAAATTAAATATTGTTTTCAAAATTAGTGTTCAGAAAATGTATAAATTGGTTTATTGGTATTCAAAAAGTAATTATATATGGCGACATCCGGTAGTTACACAATATATATTAAAATCGAATTTTGGATATAACAAATGTAAGTTAAGGTGGTTTATCATACTAATTTTTGTAAAATTCTTGAGGGGATAGACCTTTCATTTGGATATATTTAATTTATGTTCAATAAAACATGTAAGAGAAGTTTGGAGTTTTAATCACATTTATTTTCGGTATCATGAAAGTAAAACACATTGATTTTTAAGTGACTGATGTTTTAATTCAAACATTTGTATTGGTTAGAATATTTTTATTTCTTAATCATTGAATTTATTTTACCATCTTAGATCTACATGATTAGTAAACTAGGTGTATGTGTGTTAAATTATATTCTAGATAAAACTTGAATACAAATAAATAATTAAAAAATTAGAAAATTATATATAACAATCATAATTTATTTCAATTTTTTTTTTGCATGCTCACAAATAATTTAAACAATATAGAGATATTTATCATAATCTTGATTAAACAAAATATATTATTCATAATATAATACCTTACAGTTTACTTAACTTATTCACTCAACTGTTATTCTCGATATTATATGTTTTTCTAATTTTCAAAAACGTAATTACTTGTTTTTTGGCATGTCAATGGTAGACATAGGAAAAATAAAAATAAAGTATTTCAATTTTCAGTTCCAATTTAAAAGTCTTTGTTTTCTCTTTTCGTTGTGTACTTAACGCTAAGTAAGTTCGGTGCCGTAAAAGTAGAACGAAGTTATTTTTGATTTGTTTCTACTCTGTCTATAGTGAAATATTTTTTTTAATTTTTGTTTCAAATATTTACATTTCATTATTCGTTTGTTTATATACTAGGAATATAATTACATGTTCTTAAAAAGGTTTGAAAACGATCATGTTTTGCATGGAATTAATTATTATATTTTAAAATAACTACTAATAGTGATACTGTGATTCATATATTTAATTTCTGAAACAATTATTGCACAATTATTGTAGTTGAAATTCAATAGAAAACATAAATGATCAAACGTCT